TCTGTTGGGTAGCTTTGAATCTTATAAGTTGTTGGTGTTTGCCTGCCTTTGTGTGTTTAATTATTTCACGTATCGTGATCGTACATTCTTCATCATGAAATTGTATGAAATTTACGTTAATTTTGTGTATAGTCTGGCATCGTTTTCCGGTCAGTAAGCAGTGTAGATTTGCCAGATTTATTGTGATATCTTTCAATGACATCTCCTTTGTAGAATCAAATGCTTTTAAGTAACTAAGAACGGTGTTAACATCCCATATGTGGGTATATTTTGGAAAGCATGGTTTAAGTCCCTTTCAAAAACCAGCAAACTAAGGGGTCTTTGCCAAACGTAACACCTGAAGTAAGTAGTATTATTGAGGAAAGTGCAGGTCTTGCTGTGTTTATGGCACTGTATCCTAGTCCAGATTTGTACATTTCAGTTAGGAATTCAATGGCATTCGCCATTCCAGGGCTGTATAACTATAACCCTTACATCGACAAAATTCCTGCCAGCGTAATATGTAGGTGCGGTTTTGTTTTAAAGTACCTTTTCTCCATGATGATATGATAATGTCTTGAGCAGCCCGTGAAAGATTTTGGTTTCCCAGTTTTTCTCTGATAAAAGGCAGACAATCAGGGTAAGTTTCTTGAAAAGGGGGTGTACTTCTGTTGAATGACTGTGTAGAATGAGAAGGCTCGGTGATGCTTTTAGTTCTATGGGGCTTCTCTAGCATTGTAAGAGCTATAGGATACGAGAGTTGAGTTGACCATTTTGGCATCACACGTATGCCTCGCGCTTTGGTGTTCCTTATTTTCTGTAGAACATTGGCAATGATACTGGAAGGTAGAAAAGCATAGAATGAATGTTCTGACCAAGTTATGCTAAAAGCATTCACAAATAAAGCTTCCGGATCTGGTCTGTAAGAAACGTATTTGTTGAATTGTTTCTTGATTCTTGATACAAATAAATCAATGTCCGGCAAAAATTCGAGCTCTTTACAAGCATCATGTCGATATTTTTTATCAAGCATCCATTCACAGGCTCGTTCATTTCGCCTAGATTCAAAATCGGAATTAAGTTATTTTCCCCCGAAATGTGCGCCACATTGATCCATAGTTCCCGGGCAATACACCATTCCCATGATTGTTTTGTCAGATTGTTGCAACGTTCAGAGTGGCTAGTTCCTATATTGCTTATGATGCTCCCTTCTGAAGTATTGTCAATCATAAGACAGATATGTGCATTGTGTTGGGAATGGGAAAAGGTTGTAGTCCTAGGTAGGAGGCAAGCAACTCTAAGTAATTTATGTGTTCTTTTGTCTCTTGGTGTGACCATAGACCTCCTATGCTAATACCTTGCGATTCTGCCCCCCAACCTTTGTTTGGAGCGTCTGTCGTAATAGTAAGCGACGATTCCCCATGAGAAATGTGTTTAATGGCATTCATCACATTATTCGACCAACTATTCAATGTAGTTTGGCAAAGGCTTCAGCAGAAGCCATCATATATGTGTCGAAGTTTCTCTTACTTAGAGTTAGTGCAGATGTTTTGTCCCTATCTAAATTTCTGTAGTTTAAGGGTCCATGTAACACACCAGGAAAGCTTGATACTAGTTTACCCACTATTTTGGCCGTGTCTCTAATTTTTACTCCCCATTTCGCTTTCTTTATGAATTTTATACAATCTGTTTCTATTGCTGAGACCTTTTCTTTTGTTAATTTCACAGTCATTGTGACGGAGTTAATTTCAAATCCCAGTGTTATTAATTTCCAGGAAGGGATAAATATAAATTTTTCTGGATGCACTAGGAATAATGTCACTGTAAGTATCACATTGTTCTGACTTGCATCGTAAGTTTTCCCTTGTAAATGGAAATCATCCACATGTACAGAGATGATGTGCCTTTTTGAGTGCAATGTAGCTGAGGGGAGTTTTAGAGTTTTTGTGAACTTTTGTGGTCCACTAGATAAGCCGTTGGGCAAGCACGTAAATTGGTATAAAACACCCTTCCAGTGAAATCTCAGGTATTTCCTGTCAGTGTATTTTATGGAAATTGAGCAGTAGGTGTTCTTGATGTCAATACTACAAATGTAGCAGTTTTGTTCTACAAGCTTAGAGATCGCAGTTAGTGAGTCCATTTTTAAATGGAAATAAGACACAAAAGTATTAAAAACTTTAAGATCTAGTATGACCCTATATGTGCCGTCTTTTTTTTACATATTTGAGGGAATTTTATCTGGTTCGTGTTGTATTGTTGCTATTATATTTTTTGCAATCATTCTATCAATCTCAGGCTCCGTCCACACGTATCAGGAGTTTTTTTAAAACGGAGGTTTTTTCTCCGTTTTTGAAAAGATTAGCGTCCACACGTAGCGTATTTGAATCGTTTTCGCCAGTCCACATGTATGCGCAAATACGATCGCAATACGAAAAAACGATATGAAAGAGCATGCGTAGAGAGAGCATGCCTTTCTCGTCTTTTTATTATTCGTTTTAGAACAACTTCCCGTGACTTTGAAATAGAGATCATCTTCATAATATTAATTCGTTTTCTTAAATAATCAACGTGAACATTCAAGATGTTTATTTGTAACTCAATACATGTTATGATGCTTGAAAGAAGCCCGAGTAAAATAGCTATACAATTTTGCATCGCTACAAATGCTTTAAATATTGAACCTTTGAACCATGCTTTGAACTGATGTTTTGAATTTGGCGCAAAAACGCATGCTCCATCTGGACTCCATAATACGTCATCCCGGTCATCCTATTAGAAAACCTCCGTTTTAACCGTCCACACGTAGTTGTGAAACCAGCGTTTTCAAAAAAAATCCACTCTGGAAGCCGTATTTAAAAAGCATCGTTTTTGGTAGGCAAAAACGCCGTTTACGGGTGGACGCAAGGGCAAAACGAAGAAAAAAAAACCTCCGTTTTCAAAAAACTCCGGATACGTATGGACGAGGCCTCATTTTTTATTTATAACAATTGAATATCGTTGAAATTGTTAAGCAAAAGTGATGTTGGTAAGGCGTTTCCGACAGATCGATTGGCATCCTTTTACATTAGATAAGATCTCTTTGTCGGATGTAATATCGGGCCATGCCAAAAAGTGATTTGTTATTCTGCCACTTTGTAGCTGTCACATAAAGCAATTAAGAGGTTTCTTTAACTTTGGAATAAAATTTTCCCATTTGCTTACTGGTGTATTTTTCATATGTTGTAATGGGTGAATTATATCTTGTGTGTTTTTATCGTTTCACATTTTCCTTTGGGAAGTATGATTTCCCGCGTTTGTGAAAATCTGACTTTGCTCTCCACCTTCATAATTTGATTCATATTGGCGCCAATGTCATTAATCATAAATTTTTGAATTATATGAGCGAGATGGGGTTGATCGAGGTTGGTTGTATTTGACTACCCGACTTACATTGCTCCTTTCTTTCGCTTCTTTTAATCTTTTCGGTAAGTCATCCCCAAAGAGCAATTTGCTGCATTCGCCGTTATATGAGCATATATGCTCAGATAACGATTAAAAGCTATAAACGATTACATATATGCTCAGCATATATCTCAGCGTTATCTGAGCATATATGCTCAGATAACGATTAAAAGCTATATGCTCAGATAACGATATAAAGATTATGATTAATGACATTGGCGCCCATATATGGGGTATAATCTGGTTTTAAAACACATATTATTCTATTTTTGCGAACACTTGCCAGTTCATGGCTGATGTGTCCAAGCATTGCTATTAAGTCGAATAGTTTTTTAATGTCAAGGTCGTTTTCCTTTGTTGTGCTCAGAGCAATGAATTATAATAAGATTTGTTTTTCGTCCTGCTTCTTGTATATTTGATATGTTTTGGTCTGCTCTTTGTTGGTAGAATGGTAGTTTGGCCCATATTTCGGGGCTGACTGTGATGGAGCATACAGAGGGGCAATTAGCAGGTCATTTTCAACACAAGACACGTAACGAAGAAAAGAATCAAATGGAACAATTCCGATCACTTTACGATAAAAGTAAACACTCATGAAGTTTTTACTTCGGGCTCTTTATGATAAATCGTGTCCAGAGTACAAAAATCAAAGAGTAAAATCAAATTATTATCATTTTTTCTAACCGGATCTCTCATCTTTGATGTATTTTGAAATGACTGTTGGAAGGGCCGCATAATTTTCAATAGTAACACTATTTTCAAATTACGAAGCACTGTTTTGTCAAATTCAAACTGCCGCTAAATTTTTGTGGTCTATCGGCGATTTGAATTATGTCATTGAATAGCATCACAGGCATGCCTCAGTGCTGCCTCAGCCACAAGATGCCTCAGTCATGTCTCAGTCATATGTGAACCAGGCTTAAATTAGTATTTATGTTTTCAAACTTTCTTTGTACATTGTAATGCCTTTCAGTCTAATGATATCTCAAGTTAAAGTTTTTGTCACATTCATGTCCATTCCTGGCAATCAAGTCACATTCATGTCTCTTTTAACACATACTCTTTATTGGGAGGGATTTCCTGCGACACAGGTTTCCCATCTAATTCTTCCTTGACGTCTTTTTCGACATAGGATTGTTGAAACGGAACGGAATTCGTCAATGCATGCGAAAATTTGATAAAGTTTGACGAGAATCAAAAAAATTTGCTATCTTTACCATATATCTACTACTCGTCAAAAAAAGCTATATTCTTTGCATGAGGTCACGGGAATAATCATTCATGTATTTTAAATGTTTGAAAGCAGAAAAGGAAAAATTTGAAAAAAAATTGAAGAATTATATGCGCTTATGCACAATACATTTCAGTTACATTCGCTACTTTGACTGCTTTATTAGCATTCCAGTGCAATATTTTTCCATTCCCATAATTTGCCTCAGACAGTCAAACATTAACTCAGACATGGAAGATATGCTGGGAATATACGCATAAGATGCAAGTCATGTCCAGAAGAAATGTTAACATAACAGTATTGCCATAGTGATGGATTTTTTTTATTGAAAACAGACCTTGATAATGAAGCCGCGTGAACCTTTACTCATAGAAAACGAAGGAGTAAACAACGAAAGTCAGATTTCATGTTTTACAGCTGGATGTCAATTGATAATTCAGGCCTTTTGCTGTATCATTTGGGTTATTTATTTTCCTGTATATTGGATTATATCCAGTATGAAGCGTTTGTTAGTCATTGGCGTCAGGACAATCTACGAATGGGGATCGAAACCTATCAAAGCGATATGCGAAGGAATAAGAAATTGCAATTGTCGCATATGTTTGACGACACCGCCGAAATTACGATTCGACCCTTTAACATGCCTTAAGGTAACTTTGGCTTGACTCTGCCTTAATTAATGTTATAAATAATTGTGTAGTTAAAGATCTTGATGCTTTTCAGTTACGGCTTTATGATCTTCGGGATGAACTTGTACAATGCAATTCATACCTTAGGCAAATGTTGTGTAGAACTCTTTAGTTACAAAACGTAATTCAACCTAAAAGTTTCGATATTTAAATTGCACAATGCTTTTTCAGCTTTGCAGGTTTACATAAGCAATTTTTACTTGACAATTTTTATATTTTTTGTTTTTGTACTTTTGGCAGTAACACGAACAACGAAAGCTGTAGTTTTAGCATAGGCAGCTGAGAAAATTGTTCAGGTTTTTTATGCAATCGATTTATTTAGTAAATATATTGCTTGATTTATATGCAATGTTTGTCACGCGCGCTATCTTGTGCGAGTTCCACGTTTGTATGGTCTTAAAGGTCTTATATTTTGACAAGGTTGGCAACTCTCAACACAAAATTAACGACCGTTAACACTAACACTTTCACAAAACCATAAATATCTTATAAGTATATGAAAGAACACGAAAAAGAAATGCATCTCATTAATCACGAATAATTTTACTATATTCTTGCATTTTTTTTAACATTGAATTGCATTTCTATGCCTTTGAAAAATGCGAATGTTTTTAGGGTTTGTGGCAAATATTTTTTAAAACCCTTGCTGGGGACACTTATCTACACATTCGTCATAATTTTGAAAGCTCAAACGCAATGCAGATTGGCTAAAATTGTTTTCTCATACATTCAGATTGGCTACAATTTTTTTTTGGATTATTTTTACAAATGTTCAGCCAGTCTGCATTGCGAGAACATACATACGTGTAGCTCACGGGAGAAAGCACCCGTGACAAACATTTCATATAAATCAAGGAATATATTTACTACATAAATCGAATGCATAAATTGCCGCCTATGATTATAAAAGCTATTCTTTTTCTATGTCTTACATGAGCCATTAAAATAAAAACATGGCGAAAACAGTCAACTGTAATATCAACTGAAACGATACATTTACGAAATCGATTTATAATTAGATTGATGCCATCTGACTAGTGCTCCAGATGTCGAGTTGATGTTTTGAGGTGAGTCTGCAATTTCCATAGCAATCTTGCGCTCATTGCATAAACAAAAAAGAACTGATGCGACCTACGCCCGTTGAGCTAAAATACATTCAACTCTACCTGAAGTAAATGAATGAACTCGAGATTTCATACCCGACACGCGTGTGTAGTTTTAGAAGATTCTCTTGAAAAGTGACAACTGATTGAACTGCTGCTTTTATCGAAAAGAAAATTAGCATTAAATTGGTGTTTATTGCAAAAAAATTTAAAAGTTATTTTCATTCGCTTGACCAATAAAACCAATTGCTTCCATTTTTTCACTTTTAAGAACTACTGTCATAAAATGTTTGGTAATAACCTTACGATTTAAAACGTTTTCATTATCTTTTATTATAGTATATTGAAGTTTTGATTTTGAAATTTGAAATTGATGTTTAAAGCGTACACTAATTTCAGTGAAACCCTTTTTTGATTTAAGTCGAAGGCAGTTGACGGCCTTTGCAAGTATCTAACCTCTGCTTCTTTAACTATTTTTTACATTTGAATTACATCCAAAAAATATTACGTAAGCTAGTTTGCTAGAAATTTAATTTGCTCCTAATTCGCTTGACTTGGCGTAAGTACTGCTAAACATTTATTTATTAATTGTTTACATGTATGTGTTTCAGCGACTTTTTCTGTTGTTGATCATACCTCGCATTATGGCAACTGTTGTATTTGCAATTTACGACTGGCGTTGCATAATTTTCATGGAGAAGCCGGCTCAGAATTGTACATTAGATCGTGTGCTTGGATTAGGTGATGCTGTGTCGTGGATTGAAACATGGCTTTCCCTATCTATCGTATCATCACTAATACTTATCATAGTATTTATATGCGATGATGATTTCACATTCATCAAAGAAAAGTGGAAAAATATTTGTAAAAAAGGCTCTTTTTTTTCTTTGCTTTTCCTAATGGTACTGACATCAGTGTTTTACATAATACGCTTAGCTTCTGGGAAGAAAGTTTTAATGTCTTTACTTTTTGTTCTTTGGGTTCCAACTATCACAGTACTCATCTGTGTTGTAAACTTTGTACCTCAGGTTTTGCCACAAGCCAATGAAGGAGGTGGAGCAGGGAAAACAGGTGAAGTGAATGGAAGAGGTGGAGCAGGGGAAGCAGGTGAAGTGAATGAAAGAGATGGCGCAGGGGAAGCAGGTGAAGTGAATGAAAGAGGTGGCGCAGGGGAAGCACGTGAAGTGAATGGAGGTGGTGGAGCAGGGAAAACGAGTGAAGTGAATGAAAGAGGTGGAGCAGGAAGAGGTGGAAATGGAGGGTGGACAGGGAAAAGGGAAGTGAATGAAAGAGGTGGAGCAGGGAAGGAGGAAGAATAAAAGAGGTGGAACAGGGGAGAAGGAATGGATTGGAATATTGGTTAAATGGAAAAGGCAATCGAATGGAGAAATGGAGGAAACGGAGTAATTCTCATTTTTATGGGTTTTAGATTTGCATTTCACGCTCGTATATTGGGATTTTTTTATGAAAAAATTTTTCACGGTGACAAAGATGTGTTGTCTGTCAAACTGTCAAAATTGAAGTATATAGCCTTGTCGAAACAAGTTTAATAACAGCATAGCTTGTATATAGCATGCATTTTATTATGTTGATGTACATGTAATGCGCATGCATAACTTACGATTTGTCGGATCCTTAACAACGGATCGTGTGAACACATAATATAGTTAATGTAGTTTTTTGCCAATTCACTTAACTTTCTACTTCTAAAAATTCTTCATCAAACATAGCATGACAACATTAACAAATAGATAACATTAAACCGTTGTATATACAGTTATAGATACACGTGTATGACGCCATTGTGATATAAACTAAAAAAGTGGCCACGAGTAGTTTATATAATAAAATAAAAAAATCCCAAATCAAACGGTCAAAGAGTTTGTTTTCTTTGTCCCCTAACACTTGGAACATTGAAGAATAAAGTCATATTTGCTTGCGTGATCTATAAGATTGAAGAAATGCTATTGGCTAGCTTAATCACGTGATAAAATGTGATTGACTGACAAAATAAACAAGCAATAGCTGATCAATTTTCTTGAAATTTTGTCATCCAAGACGAACTATAAATCAATGCTTGAAAATTGAAAATTGGGTTTTTTCTTTTCTTTTAGCTCAAATACGTCCACTGCTTCAACTAAGCATTCTTAAATTCTTTACTTGCCCATTCAGGGATGAATTCAGATAAATGTTCAAATAAGTTTGCTGTTCGTTCTTCATTTAAAAACAAGACGCTTTCTGTGACATCAATTCCGTGCGTCTGTCCTCATTTAGATCATAGCTCTAGACCAATGAAGTTGCTCAAATTCTTCAGGGTATTATATAATATTGTGTCTATCATGATTCTGTATGATTGTAAATAACGTCGAAGCCTGTGGCGATTGGCTCACGTTATCTTATAATATTGTGTCTATCATGATTCTGTATGATTGTAAATAACGTCGAAGCCTGTGGCGATTGGCTCACGTAAGTTAATTTATGACAAAAAACTCTCTTTGGAAGCTAAAGATAAATCGAAAATTGTAATACTATCTTTTGATTTATTTTACTGCTCGCCTTTGCCCTTCACCCTTCCAAAACAATTTCGTCATGTGCCTCTCCTGCAGTCAAATTCTTGGTAATATAATTAAAGTAATTTTTTGATGTAACTTATATGAAGACGTGAAATAAATTACAGACAGTTCTGTGAGTTTCGTGCACCAATCACCAATACGTAACCATTCTTTTCATAGATTTAAAAAACAAAAGATGTTTCCTGTGTTTGCACAGGCTTATGCCAGCCGAGGAGACTTTAAGGAGAGCTCGAGAGAAGATCAGTGTAAGCCCGAGGTCCAATATTTCTCAGTAAAGACCGAGAAAGCAAGGTTGTCGAAAGGTTTGTTATATGGCATAAAATGACTGGAAACGAAGCTTGCTTTCTTTCTCGTCTTTGCTGTTTTGTTGACTTTCATTTTTCTAGTTTTCGTCAGTAAAAAGAAATCGTTTCAAATTGTATCTTCTGGATAGTTAAACTGTTTTCCAAGTGTTTTCCCTTCGACTCACATTCACAAATGGTTTTTTGTTTAGTTTATTTAGTTAATTGATGAAATTAATGGAAATTGCGTTGAAAGACTCGCACATCGCGCTTTTGCTTTTCACGCCATTCCTTGTTTCTCTCGACATTAAAAAGTATTTAGTATTCCACCCACAACATAGAAATGCGATTACCAAGCATTTTATTTAAATAAAGTGTCTGACGACGACCTTTGACGAGTGCATGTTGAAAGTCACACATACGACATAGGTATTAGAGAAATAAACCATTGCTGAACATAATTAGAGCAGCAATGTCACTAAACAAATATTATTGCAACAATTTTTAGCTAATAATGTCGTAATTTTCCATTATACATCAATCGCAAGTCTACTTTTATAAAACACTAACTCTTAAAATTGACGTATGATATGCACTATGCTAACAATACTCAGTTATACAAAGTTAAACATAAGTTTATCTTGGCATCATTTTTAGCAATGAAATGAATTTATTCAAGTGCGGACTTCGTTGAAAACCATTTTTGAAATATGTTCAATAGCAACTTTTTACGTTAGACAGAAGTTGTTCATCTCAGTAAGCATATTACAAACAATAATATAGTTAATTGAGTCGATATTGTTTCTTAAAAGAAATCATAAAATAGCTACGCAATGCATATATGTGGTTATTAGATTGCTTGCATAAATCAACACGCTTATGACTTTAATTGATTTATATATGTAGGAGATCTTGTATTACTATTTCTGGGTTAACGAGTCGTGTGTTTTTTCTTAATTTTTTCTAATAACATTTGAAAAAACTATATTTTTAACAATTCTATAATAAGTACGCTTAATGTAGAGCACAAACGAGCTACAGAGAAACAAGACAAAACTAATCACATTGCCGAACATCACCTACTGACAAAACACAACATTGACTGAGACTCGGCAAAATGCATTACTTACAGCACTGACTATAAACAACGGCTTACGTTAGAAAGTTGATATAACAAATTGGAATAAACCCCTCTGAACAGATCGCAGCTATTACCGGCACCTTGCAACATTTCCTGCACACACAATATAATGACGTAAGAACCAGATAACAAATACGGCTAACTTGACGTTTCAGGGTTGACAGATGAGCATAATTTCGGCCGAACAACACAAAAAGGCCTAAAAAAATTTTGTCTGGCAGAAATTTTTTGTCGAGTCTGCCATGGTCGAAAATTGGCTTTTTAAATTAATTTCCCAAACACACTGAACACATTTCACAGAATATTGGAGTTTAGTAATTTTTGTAGATTTTTCTGATTGCATACATTTAAATTAGCTTTGACGCACCCTTTTGCGTCGCGTCCTCTACATTCAGCGCAGCAATGAAAAGCAAAAGCAAGCCTAAGGCTAAGAAATTTTATTGGCTATGAAGTCTGACCTCTGAGTAGAATAAAAAATATATGACTGCATTTTTTTGTCTCCACGTTATCGATGTAGAAAATGACTCGACAAGAATGAATAATCATTTGAACTGCATTTGAAGTGCAGATCTTTCCAAATATTAATGTAACTAATAGAACTTTAACGAACATTACTGATTTTTATAACTTTTCAAATTTTCAAACGAATATTTACAAATTTTTCTTGTTCCATTTCAAATTTCGATTAAATTTTAAACATTAAGCCATTAAATGGTGTTGCATTCCGATTGATCTGATCTGGTAGCTTGCAGTTTTGTTCGTTACCAGTCCCTCAAAAGTCGATTTTCACTCTTACTATTATTAACTTTCGGTGTCACAAAAGTTGGCAGAAAACTGGCTTATTTTTGTTGAAAATTTAGCATAATTGAATTTATTTTATCTAGCAACCCTGAGACGTTTACTCTTCATTTGCCCCTGAAGATAACTACCGCTAAAGTTGTCGAAACTACAGTCAACAACAACAAAAACCGTCCTTCTCAATACTCTACATCTACAAAATATTCATCGAATTACCGTCACGAGCCACAACTCATACAAATATCTTTAGCTTCATTCACTGCCTGTTTGTCATATTTGAATTTTATGCTAAATTTCGTGTGTGTAATGTGGGCTCCAAAGGAGGATTGATAGTTCATTAACATCCCAAGCCTTATACATACGAAATAAATTAACCCTTGCCTTGCCCATTTCGAAAGATATAGGTTGTTTTAAACTATGTTAAACCTTTGTTAATAGTGTTTACATGCAAGTTATAAACCTGGGTTGAACCTAGGTCATCTAAGTCTATTCAACCCCACTCTATCGCTTAACAGCTAACGCACAAAATCTCACTACATTATCGTCATCGTATTTTATGACCTAACACTCTGTAAATATCGTGTAATCACTTTATATAATTTCAAACTTTCTATGTGTCACCGTGTAATGTTTCTTATCGACAGTTTATGTTTGTCAAAAATATTTGCGTGAACAAGTATTTTAATCATACATACGTGATTTCTTTTTGTTAAACTTTCCCTTCACTTTTTTATTTTACAGTTTACCTCGGATGCGTGGAGAGTATGGAAAAGTCGGTCCAAACGAAAAAATACCATATTTCCATTTGTTTATCACAGTTGATTTCGAGAAAGGAAGTTTTGATGAAGATTTTCTTAAGAATGAAACGAATCAGAATTTTGGACCTGATACATCGAAGTATTTTGAATTTCGTGCGAAACCATTCACAACACCGAAGCTTCAACTGTTATCTAAGATTGCAGTAAAAAGAGACAATTGGACAGTTTCAGAAGGCGCATTAACGATGTTCTGTTACGTAAATGGGAAATATTACACGTTTACCTGTTGCCATGTTTGCTACAACGGAGATGGTGATGATCAACTTCACGAAATGCTTAACCAGAACAAATTTGAATACAAATCAATACAACTGCACATCATCTCCTAACTCTGAAAAAGTTAGCAAAAAATATTTTGAGATCGTTTTCAAAAAACTGTTATGCCATATTATTGTGCTATTATTAATTGCACCATTAAAGAGTCAAAAGGTTCAATACCCATTCAAAACAAAAGACAAAAAAACAAATGACTCTCCATATTCATAACTTTTGAAACACAGTAAAAATTGTAATGTAATACAAGTATGAAAAAGATTGATAGTCTAATATTATAGAATCATCATATATTTTCACAAATATGACCAAACATTTTAAACACACATCCTAAAATTTAATATATTACATATACATTTATCATTATCTGTATTACAAGAAAAAATCTAATTTTACAATCAATATGATATACTATAAAATTTTGATATATGATAT